AGTCTTCCTACCAATATGACCAAGTTGCTAAAACAATGTCAAACAACCTCTATACAACGAAAGGAGGCTGCGACCACACAACAGACCACACCATCTTGGTCTTCATACCTTCGATAAAATAAACTATGTTGGTTCTCGTATCTACGACGAATCTCTTCATAATGCACTTTTATGCGAAATGAAATCCTCTCCCACAATGCAGGATTAGCGAGAAGTGTATAAGAGCTGTATTGGCGATCTCAAAAATCAACTTTTCGACGAAAAATAGCTAAAAGTATGATGTAACAATTAAAATTTTGAGTGCTATTTATGAAATATTTGCTTTTTAGTAGACTCCATATCGACGTACATGTGAAGAGAGAAAAGATTGCAGCAGGCCACCTTTCTTGTATGAGGGATTGGTGACGCCGTGACGGGTGTCGATGACTTCCTGAATAATTGCATATATTGTTACAACTGTAAATAATTAGTCCGATTATTTCAAACCCAGCATTCGTGTGTTAGATACAGACAGACAGCATCAGAGCATGATACCCTTCCAAATGCAAAGTCGAATCACATTAACCGACTAATGGAATCTTCGAAACCCATCTTCTCGTCGTGTGCACGCGAGATTCTTTGTCTCAGAGTCGTGAAAGCGGCGACCAGCCCAAAATAAGAGCCCAAACGAAGAAAAGTTGGACAAGCCTGAAAGGGTCCGAACTTTCGACGAGCCACTGGCCGCCTCGTCTTCGACGCGGAGATGGATCCGAGGCGGACTGGATGCCTGTGCCGGTGTCAACGTCAATCTGAAAGCTTCCAGTCGTCAAGCCAGATCCGAGTGCTGAGCTCGGTGCAAAGCGGACTTCTTGATGGCCTGACGAGGCAGGCGAATATGGTGTGGATGGCATTGCACCGGATGACTCACCGTCTCAGAGTCCTCGTCGTCCAGACGGGCTCGTTCAGGTACTGCGTCGACTGGGTGACAACCGTGGCTGCCGGCTGGCTCGACAGACTCGGCTGGATCTGGCGCGTCAGGGTGGCTTGATGTTGCTGTTGGCTCGACGCTTGTTGCCGTGGCGCCAGCCCCGAGCGTTGCTCAACGCTGTTGTCGATCAGACTGCGTGATCGACGCAACTGTTGCAGTTCCCGACGCGTCTCCACCAGTTCGTCGATCAGACGTTGCTCACGCCAGGCAGCCTGCGACTGGTCGACCGGCCCTGCCTTGACGACTGGAGGACTGGTGTCGCGGAGGCACGTGGTCGCCAGGGTTGCCGGTTGCGGTTGCCGGTTGTCGATGGAGACCAGGTCGACACGGGAAGCGCCCAACGAGGCCTACCTCCGCGAGAGCCAAAGGGCAGAAAGTCAAAAGTGAAGAAGAGCATAGAAATGGTCTCATGTCAGCGCGGAGAAGAGATGAAGTTGGTCGGTTAAAGCGAAATATAACAAAGCTAGAAATGTTGAATAAGGACTCAAACGTCTCTCAGCCATTTGCAAAGTGTACATTTTCCATTTCAAGTAAAAGTGTTTGGTGAAGAGATTCGAAGCTCGAACCCGCAAGAAGACGATGGCGGATTCCTCTTGACCAGCTGTCTATTGGCTTTACTGAAACATTCTTGTTGACGCTGTTGCCAAGGAAAGCTCTTTCGATTCCGGTGAAAAGGTGCTAAGCTTTCGTGCGTCATATGACGAACATCATCAGAGCAAGGTATCATCGTCACAACCAAGTTCAAGCTGACGAGTCAAGAAACCTCTTTACCGGAATCGAAAGAGATCAGCTCGGAAACAGCATCAACAAGAATGTTTCAGTAAAGCCAATCGACAGCTGATCAAGAGGAATCCGCCGTCGTCTTCTGGTGGAATCGACCTTCGAATC